CTTGTGTGGTCTTTGTATCAAGAGCAGTAGAAGCACTATCATTAGTATCACTATTAACAACATGTATACAATCATTTATTGTATTATTTATACACCCCATACCTTTGGTATTTCTTTCTTCTATTTACTGGTACCTACATGTACACAAATACAGTAGTACATTAAAGTATATACTATTATACTAGATAAACCTCTACCTCTCTTTCTCAACAAAACAAGTTGTTTGTGGCTGACGTGTTTACCTTTTTATTCGTTTCGGTTTGACTTTCAGTTGATACAGGCCCACTGGATGGACTTTGATCATCACTGACACTTTCTGTAGTAACTCCTTCAGTTGGACTGGTTTCAGACTCTTCAGTAGGAAGAGCTTGTTCAGTGGGAGGAGCTTCTTCAGTGGGAGGAGCTTCTTCAGTGTCAGTGGTGGGGGCATTCAATTCGTTATTTGGTTCTTGTGATTCCTCTTCTATCGTCTGTACCTCTTCCTCCTCCTCCTCCTTCCCTTCCTCTTTTATTGTCTCTTCTTTCTCTTCCTTTTCTTCTTTCACTCTGTCGTCCTTTCTCTCTTCTTCCTTCAATTGGTTTTGCGTTCCTCCTGTCAATAATTTTGTTCTCTTTGGCGCAACCGGTTTCTCCACCACGACAACAGCAGGCTCCTCCTCCTTCCTTTGAATGGTAGGCGTGGTCTGTTTCCGTGGTAACGGTACAGGGCTAGGCTCGCTAGTAGTAGCAGGAGGAGGAGGAGACTTTGATAGTGGGCCACTCTGTGGTCTCGGAGGTGGGACCTTCTTTCCAGTAGCTGCTGCCGGAGAGAGTTTAGGAGGAGCAGGACGAGGGGGAGGTGCTTGTTTGGGTTTCATAGCTCCGTCTTCTTTTTGCTGCTTTTTCTTGCGAGGAGGAGGAACGGGAAGTTCTTCAGCCTCTGAATCATCGGAATCCTCGGTCTCTGTACTGTCGTTATCATCGTCCTCTTCCTTCCCTCCCTCCTCCTCTCTTGGCTTACTATCTACAGGTGGACCTGCAACTATAGTGAACAAGATAACCACAATTGTAAAGCAACAACTTGTGAATTGTATGCACACAGGATGGGACACGATCATTGTATTACAAAAAACATGTGCTATGTACATGCAATCCATGTTTAAATACATGGCCAATTGTACGTATACAGTACGTATAAAGGGCATATGTCATACACTATTAAAATGTACATGTATTTCTAATCCTTAGTGGATTGAGTGTCATTTCTCTAAAATATCAAATATCGCTTGTACTCAACACCAAAAACAAGCCCACACACACATGTACTGTACATGAATACAGATAATATCCATTTGTCCATACATAGTCATCTTCACTATATAAACTTATACTAACCTTTAGTATTATCAAGTACATCATTCTCTCCTCCCACACATAATACCAGTGGCTTGTTACACTGGTGACAAACACGTTCAGTTTTACCACTAGGCTTTGCACCCGATAGCTGCGCTATATCTGCTTTATGAGGTGAGCATTGGGAGCAGACGATACGCCCACACATTCTGCAGTGGTGCTTTCTAACGAAAGCTGAGAACTTTTGTTTGCAAAGCATGCATTGATTAGTGACTGAATCAGGTACCCATACTGCCTTATAGAGCATTGCTGTTGTGTCTTCAGCATCTGGAGAAAAAGAAAGATTATACAATACATAATGTAGTATGGAGAAAAGGAAGGAAAAAAAATAACCATCAAAACATATACATGTGCAAATAGGAAAATTAAAATGTAGAAGTTAAACTGAAAGTAAGTTTAGCTTGCCCATCATGACAACCATCAATAGCCATACAATTCATGCACATGTACAATAAATGGTACTTCATCACACATAATGTAAAAAGACAATGTGCATTGTTCTAAAGGTTGTCAGCAAATCCACTGCTGAAACCTTTAAACTATTAGAATATGCTGGTGATAGAGTTTAGTATCAACATTGAATGTCCTAATAATTGA